AGAGCAGACAAGAATGCGTTATTTGAGGGGAAGCTGTTTTGCAAAAAGAAAAGAAAAGAGGGGGTTTCAGTACTGGAAAGGGCATAGGAAGATGCTTATGTTAGGAGAAGTTTGCCCGAAGAGGCTGATGAATCTCCACAAGGACTTTAAATAAGATTCACAAACTGATGTGAAAACACGGGAAAACTTAAGACTAGAAAAATAAGAAACCGAAATTGACAGATTTGCTCATCCCTTGTGCGGCACAGACACTGGCTTACCAATTCAGTGAGAAAATGGCTTCTGTTTATGTGTCCTGTAGCCTGTTTGCGGGCGCTGATTTCTGGTGCTGTCTGTAGCTGCATATATAAGCAGCGGAGGTTGTTCCCTTAGGACGAATGAGGCTCTGCCCCACCAACCTCAGTCTGCAGCCAGTCAGCCTCCATCTGTCTCCCTTCTTACTTACACACAGTCCAGAGTGGAGCCCTGGCTGTCAGCTTCCTCTTCCTCCTTGGTCTCAGTATTGGCCTTGTAGAACTCAGCAGGGAGGAGGAGGAGGAAGACGAGGAGGAGGACAAAGCTGGAATGAATTGTCATTGGCTCTGGCGCCACCTACTGTTGGGCTCCCCACCTTCTGCCCTACCAGTCGCCAGTGGGCATGAGCCACTACCATTCATGTGATTGCCTACATCCCATTCACATTTATTCCAAAGGTGGGGAACCTGTGGCCCTTGAGATGTTGCTGGACTACAACTCCCATCATCCCCGGCTATTGGCCACACTTGATGGGAGTTGGAGTTCACCAACTTCTAGAAGGCGACTGGTTTTTCAGCCCAGATCTATACGTTTTCCCAACTGCTCTATGCTTCACAGCATAATGCGACCCTCATGGAAAACAAAACTCCTGATGACTGGAACGTTTGATTGCCCAACTAAAAAATAATTGTGTTACTTTGTATCTTTTTGCACTATGCAACTGTACCAACTTGGCAGTCTTTGGAATGAAGCTTTTGAATGACCTGCCAAGTTGGTACCTCTGAACTGCTTCATTCATTAGATAGGATCCAGTCCATGTCAGTTGAAACATAGTTCCCTCATGATTTCAATGGGAAATAAAGTAGGAATACAGGAAGCTAGCCCAATAAGTTTTACTAAGAGCAAACCCATTGAAATTAATGAACATGACTAAGTTAGGTCCATTAATTTCAACTCTTGAGTAAAACCTAGTTGTATACCACCCATAGCAAGCTGTCTTATACCAAGTCCATCTATCTTGGTATTGCCTATTTTGACTGGCAGCGAATTTCCAGGCATTCAGAGAGGGAGTCTCTCGCAGTCCGACCTGAAGAATCTGGGACCTTCTGCATGCCAAACAGGTGTTCTACAACTACCACTTTGGTCCTTCTCCAAGTTAACTTGCCCAATTGGTTTCCGCAGGACCCAATTTTAGCTTATTTGTCTAGATCCAACCTGCTGAATGTAGTACACAGAGTTACCGGGTTCTGGGTTTGACCCAGAAGTTCGGGGATTTCATCTCTTGACAGTGGCGTAGCATGGGGGGGTGCAGGGGGGCGGCCGCACCGGGCGCAACACCTGGGGGTTAGGGTTAGGGGGCGCAAATCCACAGGTTAGGGGGCGCAAATCCATGGGTTAGGGGGTGCAAATTACTTGCCTTGCCCCGGGTGCTGACAACCCACGCTACGCCACTGTCTCTTGATATGCCACACAGGTGGAAGAGAGATGAAATAGACTAGAAGACCTCTTACATCTGCACTCCTAATCACAGTTATCTTGGAGTAAGTCCCTGTGGGCTGCATCCAACATTCCCTTGTGCTAGCAGACAGGTGAGTCTTAATGTTGAGCAACAGAAGACTCCAACGCAACAGTTGCAGAAGCAGAAACTCTCTGCACTGATTGCTGATTGCAAAAACTATCGTACAACCACCTGATGCATTCCCTTGTGCAACCACGTTCCTCTGGTGCAAAACATTTTGCCCACAAAGCAAGTATACCATGAAGTGACTTTCACTTTCAAGCCACGTTGAATATAACCCACTGAAATCAAGAGGGCTTACTTCTGAGTAAGTGCTGTAAGTTATTACTGGCTTTTGTGTTTCCTGAATCTTCTGTTGCCTCGTGAAATGCATCAAAACACATTTCTAAAATGTGCATGAAAATACCTATTTCAATGTGAATTTTTGTGCAGTTAAAAAACAACAGATGAATGTGGAAATGGGATCGGATGGATTTATGCACGCATGCAAAATGAAGTGGACCAGATCTAGATTTGATTTGTGCACCCCAGGCTTAGTAATCTGCTCTTGAATAGATTTTAGTCTTCAGAAGCTCAGGGCTCATCCAAACTTGCCCTTGCACCTGATCTTTACAGCTGAATCGGAGCAAACTTCAATCGGGGTTTCTCCGGATTGTTGTTTGCGCTGATTTATTGCTAAAGAGCGGGTTTCCCCAGGGAAAATGGCAGGACAAGGGCAAAACCACTCAGATCAGTGCCGAGAAGGGACAAGTGGAAACCCAAAGGCATTTGAAGTTCACACATGCAGAATATGTAGCAAAACAAACTAAGGGGTCAGCCCCCTCCCATGTAGAGTCCAATGGAGACTGAGCATGCCAGTGGGCATGGAAATCTGTCAGGGCCCCCATCTGCACTACACATTTAAAGCAGTTTTACACCCCTGTAAACAGTCACAGATGCTCCCAAAGAACTGCTAGAAGACCCTTATTTCCCTCACAGAGCTATAATTTCCAGAGGTCCCTTAGGAAGAGGAGTTGATTGTTAAATCTCGCTGGAAACTGTAGTTGTGTGAGCGGAATGGGGTGACCTCCAAACATTTCTCAGCATGCTTAACAGGCTACTATTCCTAGGAAGTGACATGGGTGGCGCTGTGGGTTAAACCACAGAGCCTAGGACTTGCCGATCAGAAGGTCAGTGGTTCGAATCCCCGCAACGGGGTGAGCTCCCGTTGCTCGGTCCCTGCTCCTGACAACCTATCAGTTCGAAAGCACGTCAAAGTGCAAGTAGATAAATAGGTACCGCTCCGGCGGGAAGGTAAACACCATTTCCATGCGCTGCTCTGGTTCGCCAGAAGCGGCTTAATCATGCTGACCCGGAAGCTGTACGCCGGCTCCCTCAGCCAATAAAGCGAGATGAGCACTGCAACCCCAGAGTCGGTCATGACTGGGCCTAATGGTCAGGGGTCCCCTTATCCTTACCTTATTCCTAGGAATCTTTGAGGGAAGTGGTACGATACTGCTTTAAACATACCGTATCTTCCCGTCTATAAGACGCCCCCATGTATAAGACCCCCCTCTATTTTGGGGGATTCAATTTTAAGAAAATGAGGGGAAATGGCCCAAAGTTGTTGAGCTTCTCCCCCCACGCAGCTGTGGGCAGGAAACACTCCCTAGATCGTTTCCCGCACGCAGTGGCATCGGGGGGAGTTGCGTTCCTGCCAACCGGCTGGCTGGCAGGCGCACCGCTTCTCCCCCCCCCCATGCCACTATCCGTGTATTGGACGACCCCAGTTTTTTGACATGATTTTTGAGTCAAAAAACCTCCTCCAATACACAGTAAAATACGGCATATCGTGCAGCTGATTCTCAGTGGCAGGGGAGGAAAGATAACGGAATGGAGTATCCTGGAAAAAGGCATTGCTGAATGGCTGGAATCCTAAAAAGAAGATCGCTTCCTACTGCAACATTTTGCTGCAGGCCCCACTTGCGTCCCTAGTATTTCATTCATTCATGACCTCTCTCCCCCACATTTGCTCTGCGGGTACATCGTAAGAGCACTTTGGATCACTGCCTTGAATAAGCACAACGTCGCTATGGAAGCAGATGAGCAAAACTTGTAAGCAAAAACTTGTAAGCTAAACTTACACACCATACATGTTAAGCACCTCCCCACCCACCCTAAGAATCCTGGGAACTGTGGTTTGCTAAGGGCGCTGGGAGTTGTAGCGTTTCGAGGTGTGAACTATAGTTCCAAGGATTCTTTGCGGAGAGCAAATGTGATTTCAGTGCATGGTGGGAATGCAGCCAAGCACATGAGCATGGACACGGACGGATGCGTATTTTTAGACCTCGGTGGCTTTCCCAGAACTCCTGAATTCCTGAATTCCAAGCCATACCCTTTCAACCGTCTTGATTGTCATTCAGCGGCCCGTCTTCTGCCTCAAAAGGTAAAGTGATCTGTCGACGAGAATTTGGAACCAAACCTCTCCGTCTCAGAACTCCATGGAAGATGGTGGAGTTCTAGCCTAGACTGAGGTTGGTTGATTTCGCCCCGTTCACTCCACTTCAGTGAACAGGTTGCTGTGCAATTTTTTTGACTCTTCCTACACATGCCTGCACTGCAGGGGGTTGGACTAGATGGCCCTTAGGGTCCCTTCCAACTCTACAGTTCTATGATTCTATGCGAGCATATCCAACCCCTTCCCCTCACCATTATGCTGGATAGGCTTTCAGCACCTTAACTTGGAGGCCAACCAAGGCTGGAAAAATCCCCAGTCCTTCATGATTTGGGTCCCCAAACATATTTTGAAAGACAAAAACCAAAAACCTGAATTATTCCTCTTGGGCAGGTCAGTACTCAAATTATTGGATTGGGAGACAGGAATGCATAAGCTCCACAGTCAACTAAATTCTACTCGGAGTAGAGCCATTGCAATTAACAAATTTAAAGTTAATTACACCCATTCATTCCAATGGATCTGCTCTGAGTACGACTAATGTTGGATGCTCCTGCTGGCTCCCCCTCAGTTTCACCCAAATCATGGTCCTCTTGTGGTCATCTAGAAATAGTCACCAAAGGCCCCTCTATCATTTGAGCACTGAGTAGATACTTTAAATTGAGCTCTTAGTATTGTGATGTTAGAATCAAGGAACTGGAATGCATAGATACATACCCCTGTGTTTATGATTCAGCTTTTGCCCAAGACAAACATTTGTCCAAATTCAAAACTTGGCCAAAAAAGGAAAAAAAAAGGGGGGGAAAGAACCCTGAACCCAGAATTTAAGTTTGGCTTGAAATTCAGATTTCACTTTCAAAATCTCCCCATTTAACACTGGGTGTGCCTAGGAATTGGAAGCATCTTCCCTGCCTGCAGAGTGCAAAAGCAAAGAGAGAAAAAGAGGAAGACCACAGATGGGGAACCGGTGGCCGTCCAGATGTTCAGCTCCTATAATCCCCAGCCAGCCTGGTTGATGATCAGGGAGTTGTAGTGCAGCAACATCTGGAGGGACACAGCGTTCTCAGCCTTGCTGGAGAGACTTAAGACTTAGGACTAATCTACACTGGTGAGTTAGAACGTTAAAAATGTGTTATAAAAATGTGACACCAGAGGGCGCCATAGAGCAGCGAACTTTCGCCAATGGGAAATTGCATTGGGAGCTATATATTTAACAGCATTTTTAATAGCGTTTTCCAGATCAGTGTAGACCCAGCCTTAGTTAAATCCCTCCCCAAATACCTCTGAGGATGGATGCCTGCTATCACACCCTGTACTGCACTATGCCCATTGGTACTTGCATTATGGGGGCAGGGAGATAGAGGGCATAACCCCTTGGGCAGAACACCCTTCACAATTTTAGACACAGCCTCCCCTGTAGCTTCCAAAAAATAGCCCAGGAGGCAGTCACAGAAGACCAATGGGCTAAAATCTCTCTGGCAGCCCTGTAAGTTAAGCCTGGGTATCCATCACAAATACTTTCCAGGATTTCAACTCTGGTATTATACTGTTCTCCTATACTTAAGCAGAACAATGGTCACCATTCATGTTTATGTTTTCTAGAGTTGCACTTTGTTGTCCAACCCCTCGTCGTGCGACCCCCCCAAAGGAGGTGGATTGAATGCTACTTTCTTAAAAGAATACCCTGCTCTAGATACTCCCCCAAACCTACTCCCTCCCCAGCACATCCCATCAAAGCCCCCTCCCCAAACACTCTCCCATAACCAGCCTCTGAGGCCACCTTCTCTTTGAGCCAAAGGTATCGCAACTAGTGCTGAAACGGAAAAGAAAATCACACCCATTTAAGATGGGATGAATCGTACACATTCAGAAGAGTAAAAAACCCAGCTGCCAGCACCGAAGCATCAGTTTTTGCCGCTGACGCAGAGATTTCAGACAGCAGGCTTTCGAAGCTGATGTCAGAATTCGAAACGGGAAAACTAAAAAAGCAAACCAACGCAAAAAGCTGTTAATCTGAAGGCACGGAAACTTCAGGTTCAGTTCCTCGATCGTCTTTACCGAGACGTTGTGCAGTGCTTGTTGAGTCGTGTGGTGGCTACATTCACTGCGGCTCCGACCGCAACGTCCAAAACCACTCCAGCCTTGGCAGTTCCGCTGTTGTGGACGCCGTTCCCAACTCGGTAGACAAAATGGTGGCACCTACGAGGCCCCACAACACTTCCCCTTGAGACTACCTCTAATTTAGGGATGTACTTGAAAAGATCGGCCCCCCTCCCCAGTGTGACCTCTTAAGAAAAGCAATTTCAAAATGGCTGCATGTGTTTCCCCCCTTTTCTATCATATCTCTCTCGCTTGCCTGCCCCCTTTTAGTCAACATCTTTCGAAGTTTGGGGGCTGGGGCCGCTTCGCTTGCGCTGCTCCCCTTTGGAAGATGGCCGCGGCTTGCCCAAAGTCCTGGCGCCTCCGGAAGCTTCCGTTGGCTCCGAGGAGGCCTGCCGGGCGGACGACCTCATCCGGCTGCCTTTGGGGTCGCTTTGGTCGGCGCCCGCCTTGGCAGACAAGGCCGAGGCTTTGTGATGCTCCGCTCTTTGGCGGTGAGGCGGTGTGTGGTGCCGTTTCATGTACAGGAAAAGCGCCGGGTCGGGCATGGGCTCGACGTCTTCAAAGCTGCTCAGCCGGTCGCGAGGCGGAGGCTCCTTGAAGGCCCCCCTGCTGTGGAAGTTGCTGGAAGCCTGCCGGCGAGTGTGGGACTTCTGCGTCCGTTTCTTGGGCCTCGCCTCGCCGCAGGGCGGAGGGAGGAAAGGTTTCTCAGGGGGCATCTCGGGCAGGGCCTTCCCGCTCTGCCGGGAACTGTGGAGCTTCTGTTTGGTGGCGTGGAGCTGGAAGGAGAGGTAGGCAGCCGCCTCCGTCTGCTTCTGCAGCTCTGTGTTGAGGATGGTCACCCGGTGGCTCCTTCTCTTCAGTTCCTCCAGGAATTTCCTCTCTTTGTTCCTCAGGTTGGAGCGGAGGGCAGCCACCAAGCTCTCCTTGTGCCTCAGCTCCTTGCGCAGCTCCACGTTGTTCATCTCCTTCTCCTGCAGCTGGGCTTCCATGATCTTGCACTTCTCCTCCAGCTCCTGGTCAATGATGTCTGCATTCAAATAGAGAACATATCAAGATATTAAACTGAGAAGAACAGACGCTACACTTGATCTTAGCCAAAAGGAAGCGCAAGGAGAAGGAAGGCAAGTTCTACCACACATGGTGGACATGCAAGACAACAAAAGCATTCCTGGAAATGATATATATACATTGGTACCTCGGGTTAAGAACTTAATTCGTTCTGGAGGTCCGTTCTTAACCTGAAACTATTCTTAACCTGAGGTACCACTTTAGCTAATGGGGCCTTCCGCTGCTGCCGTGCCGCTGTAGCACGATTTCTGTTCTCATCCTGAAGTAAAGTTCTTAACCTGAGGTAATATTTATGGGTTAGCGGAGTCTGTAACCTGAAGAGTCTGTAACCTGAAGTGTCTGTAACCCGAGGTACCACTGTATATATAATGAGTTGGGGAAAAAAGTTTAAAATAACATTTCTGGGAAAAACCAGAGGCTTTTTGACTAGGAATTTTAGGTGCAGAGATACCAAAGGAGCAGAAACGATTGTTTATGTATGCGACGACAGCAGCGCGGACACTACTGGCCCAGAGATGGAAAGAAGAAAAAGTTCCTACCAGAGACGAATGGCTTATGGAGATGATGGACTATGCCGAAATGGCAAAATTGACTGGGTAAAATCAGAAACCAGGAAGAGAGGAACTTAAATAAGGAATGGGGGGAAATTACAATTTGCATAAGAGAACATTGTAAGCAACTAAAAACTTTGGCAGGATTTGAGTAACGCTTGTAATATACTAAAAACTAAGGTAAAAACGGATTCTTTAAGAAAAATGGAGAAAATATGTGATGCAGTAGGAAAAGATTGAAAATGGAAACCATGGAAGGGTGGAGGGGAGTCTAAGGATTCAGGGAATCCTAAATGCTGGTGATGTCTAATGTTTGAATTTAAATGCATAGTGTAAAACTGAATAAAAAAGATTTTCAAAAGAAAAAAGAAAAAGGTCTACATTCAAGAGAAAGGGAGAGGCTTTTGGGCTTTCTTTTTCTTAACTGAGATTTTTCAAGTGGACAAAAACAAGGGCAGACGAGATGCAGAAGACGTAACTGTGAACTTAGTCCTGGTGCTACTTGTGGATGCACAGAAGAAACAGAAAACCCAAACAATCATGAACAGGGTGGGGGGCAGCTCCTGAAGGCTGAGCCCTTTTGGGGGGGTCCCCAAATATATTTGGGCTATAGAAATATTTTTAAGTGAAATGAAAACAAATAATGGTCTACTGAGGGCACATCCACACTTTTGCTTTGAAAAGCATGGGGCTGAGCGGTTTTTCTGCTTGACCCACACTTTCTAGATATGGGTCCAAGGAGTTTCCCCTTGCCCCACTCCTTTCCCTGGGAAAACCTGATCTTTAGTGTGGAATCAGAGAAAATATCCACCTGGAGAAAACACATTTTGCTCCACTTGATCACTGTCAAGAGCAGTTTTACCCAGGGGGAAGCAGACGGACAAGGGGAAGTGTGGATGAGTCCTGAGACCCTTCAAGATGTCCTCAGGGGAAATCATAGTATTGCAGGGACCCCAAGAGTGCTTAGCCCAGCCCCTTGCAATGCAGGTGTTTTCCAATGTGGGATGAAAAAGTAAGAACCATGAATGGGGTTGAGGTTGGACTAGATGTTCTCTCAAGTTGTCCTCCAACTCAAGGATTCTAGAAGATTGAACACTGAAGATTCTAGAACATTGAAGATTAACAACAACAACAACACCCCACCCATCTCACTTGGTTGCCCCATTCACTCTGGGAGGCTTCCAACAAATATAAAAGCATAATAAAACCTCAAACATTAAAAGCTTTCCCATACAGGTGCTTCAGATGTGTTCTATACGTCAGATAGTTGTTTATCTCCTTGACATCCGATGGGACGGCATTCCACAGGGAAGGCAACACTGTGAAAAAGGCCCTCTGCCTGGATCCCTGTAACCTCACTTCTTGCAGTGAGGGAACCACCAGAAGGCCCTCGGAGGTGGAACTTCAGTGCCCGAACAATGGACAACAGTCCAAAGAACAGCAGTGGCTGAACAATGGAGTTGGAGCCACCTCTTTAGGTTTACAAGGACAAGGCCATTTAGGGCTTTAAAGGTCAGCACCAACACTTTGAATTGTGCTCGGAAATGTACTGGGAGCCAGTGCAGATCCTTTAGGACTTGTGTTCTATGGTCCCGGCAGCCGCTCCTAGTCATCAGTGCAGCTGCTGCATTCTGGATTAGTTGCAGTTTCCGAGTCACCTTCAAAGGTAGCATTGCAGTAGTCCAAGCAGAAGATAGCCAGAGCATGTACCACTCTGGCGAGACAACGCACAGGCAGGTAGGGTCTCAGCCGGCCTACCAAATGGAGCTGGTTGACAGCCACCCTGGACACAGAATGGGTTTTCTGTCAATGTAGGCTGAAAAGCATGTGCTCTATCACCCTTTTCACTGCCCGATGACACAGTTTTTGGAGGAGCGACTCCCTACAGATAGCTCCACAAGCTCAGTGCCTGGTGGGTAGTGTTCTTGTTGATCTTTGCCATGGACCTGTTTTGGCTTGCCAGACCGAAAAACCAGGACTGGCCCAGGCAAAAGACAGCTGGAGCGCACAGATCTGGTATGCCTGCAGGATGATATCCAGTCTCCACAGAAGAAGAAGAAGAAGAAGAAGAAGAAGGAGAAGAAGGAGAAGAAGAAGAAGAAGGCACTTTGCTTCCACTTCCAGCTTTCTTTGTAAATGCCTGCTAACACACCTTTCAGACACTGTAATGCGAAGACATCCTTGCCAAAGGATTAGCCATGCAAAAACCTGTCCAGAGGGCGTTCCAGTTTGTGGATTCCTTTCATTATTATTAATATTATTATTATTATTTCAACCCTTCTCCTACACGCAATTTCTTCCCAGCATTGCCTCTTCAGAGGCTTACAAGGAGCTCTTTGAGAGACGTGGATGTACACAAGGTGTCAAGGGGGAAGCAATGATTTGACTCATCATCAGTTTATTGTCCTATAAGATGTTGGGATAGCGGAAGCTGACATAGGCAAAGAATCTACAGGATGGGAGGCGGGCTCTCGTGTGGAATAGGGTTGCTCGTGAGTCAGTTGCTTGCAGATCCAAGGATGCTGAGGAGGAAATGAATTTGCTGCTCTTGCCCTGCTCTTCCCCTATCACCTCGCTTGCCCTCTTCTAGTTAGGAGTTTAGAGAGCAATGAGTCATTCCGATATCCCATGTTGTCATGCACAGTCCTCACCTAGCCCAGGGATGGGGATCTGTGGTCCTCCAGAAGGTTCTGGGGCTACAACTGCCACCCCACCCTCCTGCTGACCATTGGCTAGATGCCATAGAGCGGTTGGGTGCAGAGGAATGGTGGGAGCAGTCCGCTGGGGGACCCCCAAGAGAAGAAGGCTCAGAGCTTGGGGAGCGGTGGTGGGACAACAGTGAGTGGTCAGAGGGAGAAGACTGGGAACAGGAGGTGTCAGAAGAGAAGCTGAAGAGGTAGCAGGGCTTAGTGAGCGGGGAGGGTCTGTGGCAGAGAGAAGTCCAGAGTCAGAAGCTGAAGCAGGAGAGGAGAGAGGCCAAGAGGCAGAGATGAGTCTGGCTGGTGAAGAGGCATGGGTATCTCCTCCTGCTGCTGCAACAAGCTCCCCTCCCCGCTGGTCTCCCAGTACCAGGAGAGGCATGAAGAGGGCAGAGGAGAAATTAGCTCCATGTAGGCGCAGTCTAAGATTGCTTGGGGAAACCCTGGAGAGGAGGGGACTTAGGCAGCTGCGGGGAGGCAGAGACCTTCAGTCTCAGCAACTGTTTCATGGGGAAAAGACCTGCCGGACATATGTTGCTGTGTTCATTAGGCCCGACACACCTGTGCAGATCTTGCTTTTGCTAATAAAGAGTTAACGCCAACTGGCTCAGTGTGGTTTCCTGCTGGCTCGCTCCTGTCACCATGCTGGGGTTGCTGGATATGGGAGAATCCAGCAACATCTGGTTATACATCCGATATAAAGGTAAAGGGTAAAGGGACCCCTGACCATTAGGTCCAGTCGTGGCCGACTCTGGGGTTGTGGCGCTCATCTTGCTTTATTGGCCGAGGGAGCCGGCGTACAGCTTCCGGTTCATGTGGCCAGCATAACCAAGCCACTTCTGGCGAACCAGAGCAGCGCACGGAAACACCGTTTACCTTCCCCGGCCTATTTATCTACTTGCACTTTGACGTGCTTTTGAACTGCTAGGTTGGCAGGAGCTGGGACCGAGCAACGGGAGTTCACCCCGTCGTGGGGATTCGAACCGCCAACCTTCTGCTCAGCAAGTCTGATCGGCAAGTCTGTGGTTTAACCCACAGCGCCACCCGCATCCCCGATAAAGCGGGATATCAAATCCAAAAAACTCTTTTGCATAGTCTTAAATGAGCCAGACATTTGCATGTGCTGGTGGGACTGAACAACCTCAATATTTGCCTAGAATCATAGATTTGTAGAGTTGGAAGGGGCTGCTGTGTGTGTGTCCTCTAGTCCAACTGTCTGCAGGGCAGGACTCTTTTGCCCAATGTGGGACTTGAACCCACAACCCTAAGATTAAGAGTCCCATGCTCTTCTGATGGAAATAAATAAAATCGTGCCATATCACAAAGAAACGGTCATTCAAGCTCTGCTCTTTGGATACTTTTAGTGACTTTCTTTTCCAGAAAGGCAGTTATCAAAGGCCTGTTTCTGAGGGCTGGCCAAGGTTGGTGGGGCTGCCCTTGATGACCCCTAACGGGCTGACTTCTGCTTTATCTGAACCTACAAAGGGCAGCTGAGGACATCAAGGCGCACCGGATACGTTTCGCTGCGGTGCTGTTTCCTCCTCCAGGGTGTGGCAGAGAAGGAGGAGAGGCTTTTTCCGGAATCGGCCACTCGCTTCTCTGCGTCTGCCTTCCACCAGCATTCCATTCGCCTGAGACTTCCTGCTGCGGTCTACGCCTCAAACGCCTTTGTTGTGCCACTTGCAGCCTCGCCTTTTGCCTCCGGGGCTGGGGCGAGGCCGCCAGACGCTCTGCAGCTCCACCTCGCTGTGATAAAAGAGCTGCTCCTGGCGATAAAGATCTTGGGACCTTTTCTCTCTCCCCTTCATCACTCGGCAGCCAAGGCTGCAGGACTACAATTCCCATCATCCCTGACCACTGGTCCTGCTAGCTAGGGATGATGGGAGTTGTAGTCCAAAAACAGCTGGAGACCCAACTTGGGAAACACGATACTGAGCTGGATAGAGCTATTGTCGGATATAAGGCAGCTTCCTGTCCTCCTATTGGTGGCTTTGTCACTTGACCACAAAGGCCACTGCTGGTTTGGGGTTTCAGCAATCACGAAATCATAGAATCGTGGAGTTGGGACCTCCTCAGGGTCATCTAGTCCAACCCCCTGAAATACAGGAATCTCGATTAAAGCATCCATGGCAGAGGACCATCCAAACTCTGCTTTAAAACCTCTAAGGAGGAGATCCACAATCTCCCAAGGGAGTCAAACAGCTCTTACTGTCAGACATAGGTGCCAACTCCCAGGGGCTGATGCAGTAGAATATTTTTCCGGAGGGGGCTGAGCCCCCTCAATATTCAGAGGATGTTGCCCCCCCCAAATCCTCTAGAGAAGCTGGCACCTCTTGCTGTAAGAAAGTTCTTCCAAATGTTCTCCTTTCTTGTAACTTGAAGTCATGAGTTCAAGTCCTACCCTCCAGAGCAGGAGAAAACAAGGAGGCGCCATTTTCCATGTGACAGCCTGTTAGATATTTGAAGATGGATATACAAATGTAAGAAAGAAAGAGAGAGAGAGAGAGAGAGAGTCGGATACTCTAACGATCACACCAATCCTGGGCAAGAAATACAGGCGATGTGCAAATAATGAATGTCATGGAATCCAATCTGGACCACTGATCCAAACATCTTGACTTCTTTTTCCTATGCACCCACGCAGTGGGAAGCGATGAGGAAAGAAGGCTTCTGAGTACCCAATGCCAGATTGTTCAGTCTGAAGACTTGCAAACAATACCCGTAAACATCATTGGTAAAGAGCGAAACTAGGCCAGGCCAGAAACCGAGACGGCAAAGCGGAATAATGGTGGAATCCTTGGGAACTGTTCCAAGCCTAGAAGGGAACGCCAATCACACGCTCACTCAGCACCCTCTGCTGGCCGCACTGTCGCTAAGAATTAGGACTGGGTCGAAAAGCATTCACCCCTGGGAGAGCTGGGGAAATGAAACTATTTTCAAGGCCTTGGGTTTTAGCCAGAGCTTTTTTCCCCAGCTGGAACTCAGTTCTGGCACCTCTCATGTGGGTGCCATTGTCATTATAAGAGAACAGGGGAGGAGTTCACAGTGAGTTCTGGCACCTCTTTTTCTAGAAAAAAATAGCACTGGTTTTAGCCAAAGCTAGTCCTACTCAGGAGTGACGTGGGTGGCGCTGTGGGTTAAACCACAGAGCCTAGGACTTGCCAATCAGAAGGTCGGCGGTTCGAATCCCTGCAATGGGGTGAGCTCCTGTTGCTCGGACCCTGCTCCTGACAACCTAGCAGTTCGAAAGCGCGTCAAAGTGCAAGTAGATAAATAGGTACCGCTCTGGCGGGAAGGTAAATGGCGTTTCCGTGAGCTGCTCTGGTTTGCCACAAGTGGCTTAGTCATGCTGGCCACATGATCCGGAAGCTGTATGCTGGCTCCTTCGGCCAGTAAAGCGAGATGAGCACCGCAACCCCAGAGTCAGCCATGACTGGACCTAATGGTCAGGGGTACCTTTACGTTTTAGTCCTACTCAGAGCAGGCCCATTGAAAGGGATTTTTAATTTTATTTATATCTGACTTTTCTCCCAGTGCGGGATGCAAAGTGGATCTTAGCATGAAACAGATACAACCAAGAATGTGCAATAAATATAGATGTTAAAAAAATAGCAAATAAGTACTGTTGTATCTTGGAAGTCGAATGCCTTGCAAGTCAATGCCTTGCAAGCTCCTGAACACCACAAACCAGGAAGTGAGCGTTCCGGTTTACGGACGTTCTTTGGAACCCAAACGTCTGACGGGCCTTCCACGGCTTCCTATTGGCTGCAGGAGCTTACTGCAGCCAATCGGCAGCCATGCCCAGGTTTCCGAAAGTTTTGGAAGTCAAATGGATTCCATTCGACTTCCGAGGTATGACTGTAGCCCTATCAAAAACTGCCCTGGAAACACTTAGCAACATTTAAAAGCAAAAACACAAAAAAGACAACAGCTAGCTAGGGGTCAAAGGCTCATTGGTACAAAAAAGGCTTTGTCTGGTGGTGGAAGGAAAACAGGGATGAGACCAGCCTGGTCTACAGAAGGTTAAAACACATTATTAAAGTTAATATATATATATATTTTAAAGAATTAGCACCAGGGTCTTTGAGGGGCAGTGGCTTTCGAGGGAGTCAGGCAGAGAGGCATCTTTTCTCACCTCCTGCTACCAAACCCTTTTAACCGGAGAGTCCGGGTTTTGAACCTGGGACAGAGCTATACAAATCCCTCACCTGCTTTTTGAATCATAGATGAAGAGTCTCATGCTCTTAACAACATCTCACCCACAAAGGGGGCTTCCTCTTACCTTGCTGGTTGGCTTCCAGTTCCTTTGTTTCAAGATCATGAGTCAATTCTAGAAGAAGAAAAGAGATCATAAGAACATAGAAATGTAAGAGAAGTCTGATGGCTCAGTTCAACGACGTGTCTAGTGTAGCACCCCATTCTCACAGCGGCCAACCAGATGGAATTCATAAACTACAAACCCCAAAATCTGGGATCCCCTCCAACTTCGTGCCAAAGTTCTGCAGTTGTTTTGCAGCATTTGCAGCAAACCCCCCACCCCCATGTTTTGCAATGTAACCACTCTGGGTGGCTCCCAACAAAATATTAATTTATTTATTTTTTAAATGAAGAAACACATTGGGTGGCTCCCCACAAAATATTTTAATTTTTTTAAAATGAAGAAATACATTGGAAAACAAAAATAAGCCATAGTGCTTGCTTTAAAACATAGAATGCAACCACTTTATAATATGATCATGGGACATCCAGAAAGTCTTTATTTTGGGCGGGGGTGTGTGTGTGTTATTGGGTCCTTGTTTTTATTTTGATCATATATACATTGTGGTTTTATATGTTGGTCTTTTCTGTGAACCACCCTGAGACCTCTGGGTATAGGGCGGTATATAAAAACAACAACAACAAATAAACAATGCAACTACATAAGAATATGAATCACTCCCAAAATGTAATTATAAATGAGTCTGTTACATATGTGCCTTAAGTATGTACGTAAAAAAAAATCATTGAGAGGTGTGAGCTTGCATTGTTGGGCAATCTCATTTATTTTAGGTGTAATCTGAGCCAAGCCAACTCTCACCTCCGCATCAACACAAAGAGGCCTTTCTCTTTTCTGATCATTCATATTTCTCTGAGTTGAAAACCCCTGTTCAGAACAAGGTGTTGTGGGGAACTGCAGAAGAATAGCCAATGCTCTTGAAATGTTTAAATGTTTCTTTGATTTCCCCTTGAATTTTCCTGCCACATTTGCCATCCTCTCTTGCCACACCAGTGCCTCACTCATTGAGAACCACTGCTCTAACCACTACGCCACACTGCCAAACAGCAAGGTCCAAGCTGAGGTGGCGAGGCCAAAGGGATCGCCCTTCCAGATCTGCTCCTGCACCCTGAGTGCCTTGGATTTCATGCTGCCAGATTCCAAATCAATCTCAAAAGCTGGCTGTGCAAGTTGAAGGCCGTTTCGGCCTGATTAACTCTGAGAAGCTGAGGCAGGCCCAGAAGTGGGGCAGAAATGCATGCTGGGAGAACACTCAGTCTATCTCCTTCCTCTCTTGTAAAACCAGGCCAGCCCCAGAGGTGGTTGCATTAGAAGGGCAAACAGCACTTTGCTTGGCAGCAAGGCATGAATCCCAGCGCACTCCACGCCAGACTTGGAAACCAATCCTTTCTCGGATGCCGGTTTCTCTGTGCGATGCAACAAACCCAGTTAAATTTCCAGGGAAATTCCAAATGGCGCTCTGTTCTGGCAGTGCGGACAACAGCGTTCAATTAAACACTGTGTTTGCGGCCTTTGATTGGACCTTAATGGCACAATCCTATGTAGAGACATGAATAGGGCAATGAGATTTACTCCATTGTAAGTGCATATCTTGAGAGTCCCATGGACTGCAAGAAAATCAAACCTATCCATTCTTAAGGAAATCAGCCCTGAGTGCTCACTGGATGGACAGATCCTGAAGCTGAGGCTCCAATACTTTGGCCACCTCATGAGAAGAGAAGACTCCCTGGAAAAGACCCTGATGTTGGGAAAGATGGAGGGCACAAGGAGAAGGGGACGACAGAGGATGAGATGGTTGGATGGTGTTCTCGAAGCTACCAGCATGAGTTTGACCAAACTGCGGGAGGCAGTGGAAGACAGGAGTGCCTGGCGTGCTCTGGTCCATGGGATCACGAAGAGTCGGACATGACTAAACGACTAAACAACAACAACAACAAAGTGCATATCAGATTGCAGCCTTCTGTCAAGGCTCTGTCAAGGCTACGGGAAAGCTATTCCTCCCCTGGTTGCAACAAGAGCCGAGAAAACAAGGTAGAGTCCTTTTTAATGAGTTTTATCCAATGCTAATAGCGAGAGACAAAAGAACGCAACAAGCCTTAACAATGGCGTTGCACCAAACTGGGTTCCTCCTTCCTCCTTCATAGCAGCAGCACTTTCCCTTACGGTGGCCACCTGTGGTCAAATGTATCTGATTCCGTTGTTCCTGCACCTTTAATGAACGCTGAGTTCTGGGGGAAGGGGGATCAGAAATACTCTCCAGTGACAATGTGTCAGCTGGTTCCCCTTCCACATCTCCCCCCTTCTTCTAACACTTCCCAATTTTCCGTTCGCCTGTCTCTGAGCTGTGACTTCCCTCAAACTCCTCAAAGCCCTGCTGTAATTCAATACTGCATTCCTCTCCTTCAGCAGCATCAGGAGAAGCGGGGGGGGGGGGCACGATCCCCACCATTCCTCCTCCTCTCTCCTGCCCTCTCTCATCTCCAGTCCCTGACACCTTCATTTGCCACCAGGAGCAAGCCCCTCAACTGAGTGGTAGGAATGCCCTATTGAAAAGAAGACAACTAATGGTCTTGATGTCTACCAGCTCCATCTGGTACGCAGGCTGAGACCCTACCTGTCCGTGGACTGTCTTGCCAGAGTGGTGCATGCTCTAGTTATCTCCCGCTTAGACTACTGCAATGCGCTCTACGTGGGGCTACCTTTGAAGGTGACCCGGAAACTACAACTAATCCAGAATGCGGCAGCTAGACTGGTGACTGGGGGTGGCCGCCAAGACCACATAACACCGGTCTTGAAAGACCTACACTGGCTCCCAGTATGTTTCCGAGCACAATTCAAAGTGTTGGTGCTGACCTTTAAAGCCCTAAACGGCCTTGGTCCAGTGTATCTGAAGGAGCGTCTCCACCCCCATCGTTCAGCCCGGACACTGAGGTCCAGTGCCAAGGGCCTTCTGGCAGTTCCCTCACTGCGAGAAACAAAGCTACAGGGAACCAGGCAGAGGGCCTTCTCGGTAGTGGCGCCTGCCCTGTGGAACGCCCTCCCATCAGATGTCAAAGCGATAAACATCTACCTGACATTTAGAAGACATCTGAAGGCAGCCCTGTTTTGGGAAGCTTTTAATGCTTGATGCATTAGTGTATTTTAATATTTTGTTGGAAGCCACCCAGAGTGGCTGGGGAAGTCCAGCCAGATGGGCGGGGTATAAATATACCATTATCATTATCATTATAATTAATGATGGTAGGAATGCCCTGTTGAAAAGAAGACAACTCATGGTCTTGATTCAATAGGAACGAAGGGAGCTGCCTTCCTCCAAATTGGCCCATTGGCTCATCTTGGTCAGTACTGTCCACTCTGACTAGCAGAAGCTCTTCTAGGATTTCAGGTAGGGAATCTCTCCCAGCCCTATCCTGGAGGTGCCAAGGATTAAACCTGGGACCTTCTGCATGCAAAGCTGAGGCTCTGCCACTGAGCCAGGGCCCTTCCTCCTGACTCAAGAGAAGACACTGTATGTTCATTGGGAAAGGGGATGCAGAAGGTGGCAGGTTCAACCCCCAGCATGTTCAAGTGGGACCAAACAAGAGCCTTGCATGGATCCCAGGACAGCTGCTGCCAGCCAGGTAGACCAGTGTCTATTCACACCTGCACTGACATCTCTGTGACCTGGGGGACGGAGGAGGCATTACTGCCTTCTCATAGGTGGACAGGACAGGTGGCGTAACAAACAGGTGGGACTGGACATAGATTCATAGAACTGTAGAGTTGGAAGGGTCCAACTCCACCAGGGCCAGGGCCTTTTCAGTGATGGCTCCGACCTGGTGGAATGCTCTGTCCCATGAGACTAGGGCCCTTCAGGATTTAACCTCCTTCCATCGGGCCTGTAAGACAGAGCTATTGCACCTGGCCTTTAATTTGAATTCAGCCTGATCTTTTCTTTCCCTCCCCTTCCCTCCCTCTCCCCTTTTATGAAGTTCGCCCGCTCTGAGACCCCACAGCTAATTCTCCCCTGGCCTCCTCACTGGCCCAAGTAGGACTAATACAGCCACCTAGCCCTGGTGACTATCTAATGCTTATTAGATGGCTTTTCCCCAAATTGATTTCTGAACTTTGAATTTTATTGTTATTCATGTTTTTATACTGTATTTTATGCTGCTTTTACAATTAAGTGTTTTAAATTTGTTGTTAGCCACCCTGAGCCCGGTTTTCTGAACAGGGAAGGGCGGGGTATAAATAAAAAATATATTATTTATTATTATTATCTTATATTTGTGCAGCTGGACATTCCTGCCTTTGTGCAGATCATGGTTTATGGCATTCCCGGAGGCAAAGTTGGTGTCACCATAGGCTTCAAGTTGCAAGAAAGGAGATTCCTACTGAACACCAGGAAGAACTTTCTGATGGTCAGAGCTGTTTGACAGCTGGAGCTGGAGGTGGAGCCTGTGCCTTGCACTGTGGGGACTGGTGGGGAGACAAGGCAAGGGAAATTCACCCCATTAGGACTTTCCCCAGGACCCTCTTCCTTGGGCTCTCCTGATCCAGGTAGAGACCTCCCCAGCCCACTGGATCCTTCTCAGTGGTCATTTGTTGGCCACTTGTCTCCTCTGTCCTGGCCTGGCCAGCTCCTGCTCCACTCAGAGCCTGTGACATCAGGCTGCTATTCATATCCAGTGTTCGAAACAAAGAACAGAATGAGCATTCTGCAGTCAGCCCCTAAAAAAGCACTGCATCCTTTGACTTGTACAACTCATGCAAGCGTTGCAAATTAAAGTTGCAGTTCAAGCACAATTGCTTCTTCTTTGTCCTGTCTCTTTTCTTCTGTTGCCGATCACAGAGCTGCAACAAACCAAAATTAAATACGGGCTCCTGCAAATCATTTAGTTGCAAAGAACAATTGAAACCACATGTCCCAACTGCCTCTGTTTACAGGGGTTTGTACCAATTTTCTTTTACCTATCGTAGGTAGTTCTCCCTGTCTGGTCCCCATTGGGGAAAGACTGGATGGGTACCTTCTACAAACTGCATCAACATGAGCTGCAAAAGTCACCACGCTGGAG